GTGGAAAAGCATTTATATATTTTTCTAAAGACTCAGGTTGGGAAAGTTGTTCTGAATTTTCTGAAAGAATATTTTTGTTTTTCCATATTGCCAATGCAAGTGTTTTCCCTTGATTATAGAATTCTCCAGAAGTCAAATTAGAAGCCCTTTCTTCATCTGTAAGATTCACTTTAGCTAATTTTAAAATGGTTTTTATAAGAAACAGATGAGGAACTTTGATTTCTTCTGATTGTTCTGATTGTGTAGATTCTGAAGGTTCTGTTTTTACATTTTCAGGAAATTTGGATGAATCTTTATTGAATACAGCTAAACTTGGGACCAAATAGTTAAGTACCTTTTTTTTATATTCTTGATCACTACCACAAGATACTTCTAAAATCCATTTACTTATGTATTGTAGAGAACTGGATGCATCATTATCATGATCATTACATAATTTAAATGGTGGCCCTTTCCTAGGTCTTGGTTCTAAATGACTGCCTTGTAAAGCAAAGCAGGAACAGCAGACAAATTGAGGCCTGTAGTCAGATCTGGACTTACTTGCAATTGAATTAAATGGTGAGAATACTTTACATTTATATTGTGCATTGCATGGAAGTTGAATATTTTTTCCAATTATATTCCAGCAATGCTCAATGCATGCTTTTCTCCGTGTAAAAAAAGCTTTGTTCTTCTTACAAAATAGGCATCTGCGAAATTGGACATGACTTTTCTCTATATTTACATCCTGTTTAACTCTTGCAGAATGAATGGAATTTTGATCATATAAAAAATGTTCATAACATACACCCAATTCATTCACTACATCATCACAATTTCTAACTGCAGTTTCATCTACCTCCCATGCTCCAACAAGCTGTCCTAAACGTCTCATTTTATTGGTGGATTTACATTGTTGTATTACCCCATCAATGTTATCAATTACAACACAATGAGTAAATCCTTCCTTAGGCATAGTATTATTAATTGGTATTTCTCTTGTTTCAAGTTCCTCTTCTTCATCAATGACATCAGCATTATCACTGGTATCACTACCATCATCAACCTCAACCTCAACCTCATCATCTTCATCTTCATCTAGTAAGAAATCAACATTCTTGGCTTTATCAAGTTGGAGATAGTCATATGCAAGTATATTACTATTAAAATTACTATTCCCTTCATCATCATCATAATCCCCTTCATAGTTATTATCATCATCAAAATCCTTGATATTTTCATCTAAAATTTCAACATCAATAGGAACTTCATCAGAAATTAATTCCATGATCTTTAATTCAATAGTAACGAAAATAGATTTAATTTAAAAAATTTTTGTAGGTATATTTGATAATTAAGAATAAAATTTTTAATTTTTTTAATTTAATAATATATCTAATTCAAACTTATCTTTTTCTTTTCAAAACCTTTCTCTTTATATACTAACATTGTGTTTACCTGGTAGATCCTGTGGCTGGTAATTTCAGCCTTTATTTGAATTTATTTTTAGATTCCATCAATATTGGTAATTTCCGGGTATCATATTAATATGTGTAAGCCAAAAATCCTTATTTTTGTCCACATTTACTATTTTTAAACCTTTTATAGTTACACAATTGAGTTCAGCCAGAAAACTAATGAATCACAGAAAATGAAACATGGAAACCTGATTAAGCATGTTAGCCAAAATGGTTTTTGAAAAAATCAATTTCAGCAGGCAATTTCAGATATACAATATTGTCACCGATTAAATTTGGGAGAGCATATTTTAATTGGTGATAACAATTATTTTTATTTTTGTGTGGATCAGAATGAATAGGGGATCAATGAATTGATTTTATTATTAGCAAATAATTTTGGTTAAAGAAGATAATAGTTTAAATAAAATATTTCTATTTTATTTATTTAGTTTTATTTAGTTGAAACTAATTAACTTATTACAAAGTTACTTTACAAGTACATTGAATTCAAGCTCCTTATATACAATTCAATTAATTAATAATCTTGAGAAGTTATCCCAAAATTGTGACGATATCTCAAAATTGCGACGATATCCCAAAATTGTGAGGATATCCCAAGACGATTCTTTCTTAAATAAGTTAAAGAAATTACAACGTTATACAAATAATTAATAGAAATAGAAATAGAAATAAAAATAAAAATAAAAAAATAAAAAAAAAAATAAAACGTATTACGAAAATAGATGTAACACGGATAAAATAATACTAAATTAATAAAATAAAATAGAAATAATTTCGGAATTAGTTAAATTCGGCCAAAAGAGCGTCCAAATCTAATTCTGGTAACAATATCCAATTCATCTATAACTGAAACAGACACACGTCTATGAGATTTATACTTTTTTATAGCAAACAAAGCTTGTTTACCTGTTAAACCTATTCTATAAGCACTCATAAATCTTTGTGTTTTTCTAGCAAATTTTCTTATTTTCAATAAAGGAACAGATTCCAATGCTTCTGGTATTTAGTTTTAGAACATACTCTTTTTTCCAATTTGTGTTCTTGCATCCTTTAATTGACTTTTATGTTTGGATGGGTAAGGCATTTTACAGTTTTTAAGTTTGGGAATTAGTTTAATTGGTTTTTTAAAAAAAAAATTTTTTTTAACTGATCTTGTGATTTTTACAAAAAACCGCATTTTTAACAAATCTGAAAAAATTGGGAAAACAATTTTTTGAAATTTTAGCGCGTGGCGCAGCAATATGATGATTATAGGTGACATGAGCCATAGTATCTGAAATTTCGGAATGATCTACATTTTTTGTGACCTGCATCATACCATGTGTTCATTGATGATATAATATTATTATTATTAATATCAGGCAATAAATTGATACAGACTCGTGATATGATATCATCATCACTCAGGTGATACATGCATTATTAATTTCCCGTAATTTCTCGCACTTTCCAACAATCTATAAAAATTTCTATATAATCCCCTTCAAGTAATTTTTTATTTTAATAAACAAATAAACAAATAATAAAATCAAAAAAAAAAATTTTTTTTTTATAACACAATATGATTGATAATAATAATAACAACTACCCTAATAACATTAATAATAATAGCAGAAACGCTAATAATAACAACAATAGCACTGCAGATAATCTATCACAAGAAGAACAGCGAACGAGAATTCCCAATATTTCATTTTCATTTATAATTAACAATAACAATAACAACAACGATAATAATGGCCATAATAACTTGCAACAAAATTCAGGAGATCGAATAGCAAGTGAACAAACGAATAATAACAATAATAATAATGACAATCACAACGATACAAATAATAATGGTAATGGTCAAGAATTTCATTTTTTTATAATGCCATTCCCGGCAATGAATGGTGAAAATCCATCACAATTCGTTTTCTTTGCACCAATTATCATGACACCGCCAGAACCTCCAAAAAGACCAAACGTGCCCGAGAGTATAATGAAAAAATTGCCTATTGTTAAAATTACCAAGGAACATGTTGATTCACTAGCAACTTGCTCAATATGTTTGGAACATTTTCATATGTCAATTGATGATGACGTTAACAAGATAATTGTTGATGATGAAAATACAAAGTCAAAATCAAATCAAATCAAGATTGCTCGACAAATGCCATGTAAACATATATTTTGTGAATCATGTTTATTTGAATGGTTAAGACAAGATAATACTTGTCCTTTATGTAGATATGAACTACCTTCTGAAGAACCGCAGCAACAACAAGAATCTAATAACATCAATGACATTGCCACCAATAACCATGACAGTAATGAATCATCTATTGAGTCAACAAATGTTCCTTTATCTAATACTTTATCTAACATGAATGAGGGATTGCCTACATCATCATCAACTTCATCTTTAAATCATTCAAATCTAGGTTGTGCTCTAACAAATCTCGGAATATGTGAAGTAACTAATATAAACAATAATGATGACAATAGTAATAGTGATGGTGGGGCAGTCGGAAGTTTATCTTCAACAATAATAACTTTACCACAATGCCATCATAGATTTCATGCTTCATGTCTAAGAAACGCATTACTAATATCAGGATATTCATTAGAATCGAATTCATTAGACTTTAGGTGTCCAATATGTCGTGCACGTTCAACATTACAAGAGAATTTATTACACCCCACACAACAAAATCATCATCAATCTACAACTACACAAACAACATCACAATCTAATACAACGTCATCATTACCTATAACAGTTCCACTTATAATCAACTTTAATGATGAAATGGATTTAGATTAAGTGCAAGAATTTATTTAGAGATTTTTCAGATAATAATTATTTATTAACGTTATTGTAAATATATAAATATAATTTAAAAACTTTAGAATTTTCTTTTTTAATTAAACTTTTACGATGATGACATTTTTTATATAAATTTATATATATATATATTACATGTTTTTTTCTTTTAGATACTTTAATAATTTTAATAATTTAAATGAAATAAACAAGTAATAGATGTTAACTTGTATTTAATAAAAATCAAATAATATTTGTGTTAGACAATTAAAATTGTTAAATCCATTGGCCCAAATTTTATTAATAATTAATCAATGTTAAATTATTGATTTCTATATAATTATTATCTACACCGTTTAATAATAAAATAGTGGTGATGTTATCTGTTAGTTGATTAATTGTTTTTAAATGAAATAATTTTATCGTTAAAGATGTATAAAATGATAATGGGTTTTTAATTGTTTTGTTAATGGATAACAATATTGATAAATAAATTTGTTAATAATAATTTTTATACGATGATTTACTTACTTTGGCATACGATAGGCGCCTCCTTGGACACTAACCTTTTAAATAATTGTGGCAAGAAATATAAAAATATAATATTTGTGGTATAAATAATGTTTTACTAAAATATTTCCTCCTACTGCTTCAAATATAATTCTTACAAAATAACTCCAACAAAAACTTTTTGATGGATACCTAAAAAATATATTTTTCAATATAATATATAAATAAAATCTTCAATAGAAATTCCAATTCCCTTATAAATAATAAATCATTGATATAGCAAATATCTACTTTCACTCCATTTCTACCTGCTAATATATTAATTGAATTGGCATCATAAAAGAATTTCTTTAGAATATTTCAAATAGTATTATTTTTGTTACTATTATCATTATCATTACAGTCAAACCTTGATAAGTCGAATCGCAAAAATAGGATCGGCTTATCAAACAAAATTCGGTTTACGATGATGATTTACAATTATAATTATTTAATTAGTATTAGTATTATTGCTATTCGTGTGTGTAAATATTTACTTTTAAGGTAATTAATTATAAACCGAATTTTATCATAGTGGATCGGCTTATTGAGGTTTGACTGTATTAAATTATTAAATAATATTAATATTGGAATATGAATTTCTCCAAAATTAGCATAATAACGTATAGATGTTATTGCTGGTAATAACAATTTATATCTCCATCTAAAACACATTATCTGCAAAACCAAGAGAATCATTGATTGTAATGATAACATTGCTGATAAAATTCTAATACATTTTCAGTAATGACAAAATTTAATTTCTACCTAGAATTATAAATATTAATAAATATTACCTTGTGATGAGGACGAGAGAATCCTTCTGAGATTTACCTTTATCTTTTGAAACCATAAATAAATAGTTGCACATACAATGCTTTCAGGTCTATAAATAATAATAATTTATTTGTTAATATTATATATAAATACATAATTCAAGCAATTATCCTTTGAAAAAAAAAGTTCTATATATGCATACACACGTACATTAAGTTTATTTGAATCTTTGTCAAATAAATTGGCCTTTATGAAACTATCCTTTGACATTGGTACAACAAAACCATACTCTCATGTTATTACACGTCTAAGTAATGGGGAACCTATTGAGGCTGATATTGAATCATATACCGTATTGAAGATTATTACCAATGATAATACTATTAAAATCGTTAATGTTAAAGATACCTTAGTGTTATCAAAAAATTTTTTTTGAAAGAGGAAAAAAATTATTTTCACGATTTTATCTTTTATTCTTAGCATGTGTTTAAAATCGATTTGTCCAAAAAAAAACCTTTATTCAATTCATACATAATGTGTCTCTCTCTAATGCAAATTGTGTCTATTTACCGGCACAATTATAAAAGGTTATGCAATAAACTTATAAATTATTATATGAAATGGATTATATGAATTGAATTAAAATTATTAAACGAATGAATGAGTTGATGAATGGTAATAAAAAATTATATCAATAAATATTTAAGTGTTTAAATCTTGTTACTATTATTATTAATTATGATTATTAAGTAAAAGAATAATTTCTTTCTTTTATATATACATGAATAAAGCAAATTTTCAGAATAAAAGAACAATAATAAATGATTTATTATTATTATTATTATTATTATTTTATTAATTGGAAGATACAACAAAACCTTTTCCTTTGTATCCTTCAGATGCAATACCAGATATTGGATCAGCCTTTTGTTTAATCAATTTCTCAGTTGTAGCTTCCTCCCATTCTTTATTAATTGTTGATGGCTTATCACGCACTTTAAAGAATTTTTAAAAAATGGAATGAATGTTAAATTGATTGATTGATTGTTATTGAAATGATTATAATATTTATATTATGTATGGTGTGTGTACCTGCTACCCTAGAAAGATAAAATGAAACAGAAGAAATTAAGATGATAATGCCAAGCCCAATTGTAACTTTACTGCCATGACCTGCCTTCAGAAATGGTTCTCTAGGTCCATGAGAGCCAAATGCAATGTAATAGGCTAAAAATAAATTAATTGATTAATGAAAAAAACATATAAACATATATTATATTTATAAATAAATAAATAAATTTATTTATTTATTTACTTACAAGCTTTCTTTTCTTCAAGAGAAAGTTTCTTCCAATCTTGTTTTTGAAGTTCTTCAAGTTGCTTTGTAAGATTAACTTGTTCTTCCACTGGTAAAGTTTTCCAATTTGTTTCAATGTTGGTAAGAGCAATTGGTGCTGAAGTCGTTGATGCTTTTCTAAATTGTTGTTGAAAATTTTTGTTTAAATTACTTTTAGGTTGAATATTTATCGGTAAGGAAGTCCTAAACTTGTTAAATGCTCCACGAAACATTTTTTTTTTTTTTTTTTTTGCAAAAAATTTCTAAAAGCAAAAAAAAAAAAAATTTTTTTTTTATTGATGATGATGATGATCAATGTTAGTGGTACAGTGACATATGATTTGGAAAACTGTGCTGAAGCACATCTGTAACGATTGGTTCTACGTACTGACTTCTGAAATATCCCTTCATAAAATTGTATTTATTTATATAGTGTGCAAAGTCTATAACCACCATTTACTGCACCACACCGCCAAATTTCACCAAAAACCCAACCAAAAATTTGAAAAATTATCAAAAAAAGTGATTTATTATCAATTTTAATCATCAACAACATTGCTTGGAATTTTTCTATGAGATTTGTATCTCTTTTACTGCATATAAAGCTTCTATACCTGTCAATCCATTTCTATAAGCATCCATAAATCTCCAGGACCTGTGAGCAAACTTCCAAATTTTTTTGAGAGAAACAGAATTTAATGCCAATGGAACAGTTTTTTCTAATGACTTAAAGGTATAATCATAGTTTTCACAGGTATAAGCAAATTTCTCTTTTTTGTTCAGCTGTAATAAAGTTTCACTTTTTAGATGACAATGGCTGTGACTTTGTTTTT